TACAGATGTAAGGGAGAAAACCCAAGTACTCGTATGTCTGTGATCTCTTCCTCCTGAAACAGCGCCTCCGAAGGTGCTCTCTCTCGACGAAGATGAAAACGGCAAATAAAATAAGGGGGACGACGACGAAGAAGAACACCAGCAGCCCGTCCCTCAAGGCAGTGTTCTTTTCTAAAGAGAAGAACAACTTTCTATTAATGGTCATCAAGGTTAGATGCTAATTTGTACTACCTAGGACATACTAGGTATTATAAATATTTTACACTAATTTCCGCATTATTCAAAAATCAAGCTGGCATAAAGGGAGAAGTCTTGCTCACTCTTCATCTCTGTCCACTTCGTGTTTGCCTTCACAAAGAGAGCCACTTTTATTAGTTTCTTATGTCACCCTGTGGTATGTCTCCACGCAAAGGAGAGGACAAAACATGCTTCTACTGTCAACTCTTACACAACAGGTCCAGGTAGGATGTGCCACAAACACCATTTGGTACACTGCTCTTCACTCCTCCAAACATGGAGGACCTCCTCATGTCTCTACCAACTGCACTGTGAGGATGATCTGCAGTTTACTTAACCAGAACTCCAGTACCCCACTGATGCAAACTTTGATTTTTCCAATCTTTTTCAAAAACAACAAAAAAGTTGTAATGAATAACCCTGTGCATATGTCGTATCATGTCATATAGGCGCACATCTAACTATAATTTCTCAGAAGTGGAATCGCTGTATGACAGGGTACATGCATCCAACTTATTTTAAGGTATTCCCAAACTGTCCTTAGTGATGGTTACATTAGCACACTCACGAGCAATAAATCACGAAAGAATTGTCCATAGTCTCACCCACAAGGCCAGAGTTCTGGGTTTTTGCTAATCTGATGGAACAATACATGACTAATTTATATTTCTTTTTTGAACACTGTAAGTTGAGCACCTTTTTATGTTTAAGGAAACACTTCGTTTTTCCTGCTCAATCATATTTGAGTATTTTTCTATTGAACGTTTGGGTTTTTTTCTTCTCAAGCTATAGAAGTTCTCTATATATTAAAGAGATCAGCTTTGTCTGTGCCACGAGCTGGGAATATTTCCCCCTTTGCCTTATGTCCTGCCGCACCACATGTTCTCCACACACAAGTCTATTACGCGTATACAGCTTAAACTCTCAGTCTTATTTTCTATGGCTTCTAGATTTTAAGACTCATTCGAACCTTTAAAAATCTGCTAATTAACATAAATGATATGTGTTCTTTAGAGAAATAATATAGTAGACATGACGTAAGTGTGAACTGTGAGATATTCCTCGTAATTCTAAGTTTGTAGAAGTGTCAGGACCTCCTATAAAAAGTTGTATAGAACTATATGAAACAACTTAATCCCAATTTAAAAAAAAAAAATGGTGATCAGCAGGTGGCATGGTAATTAAGGCACAGGATTCCCACTTGGTCAACAGCAGTTAAAGTCCCAGACCCAGTGGCTTGAAACTCATGCCAGGCACATATGCGTGCATACCCAAAATCCCAAGAGGAGAAGGGACTGTGGTGTGGTCATCCACTCTGTGGGGTGATTGCTCACTTTCCCTTTCTCAGTCTCTCTCTCTCTCTGGCAAGCACACACACCTTATGGCAATAAATAAATTAATTAATTAAAAACTAAACCAAGGTTAGTGTATCATTTTATATTTACTAAAGAGAAGACAAAATTTACATGAAGGCACCCAACACTCACAAGATTATGCTAAAAGTGATACCTTGACATGGTTCCACTGTTAGTGGCATTACTAATGAAAGGTATCATTCATTTGGAGTTCTTCAAGCACCATAAAAAGGATTATACCCTTCTACCTATCTTATTACTGACGATTTACTCTTCGACTGGAAAAACGCATTCACATTAAGACGTACCCTACAAGGTCAACAGTACGTATCAAAACTTTAGAATCAACGCCATATAACTAGAAAAGAGCTACATCAAATTATGACACATACGCTCAATGGAATGTTATACAGTTATTAAAGCCCAAAGTTCCGACTTCTAGTTCAGACAAGACTGAGTAACAGGGATCAGATTTATCCTGCCAGCTAGAACAACAAAAAAAGAAACAAAAAGTATAGAAACGAATCGCTTTCAAGACACTGGAAATCAGGCAATGAAAAACAATAATCCCACAAAGACAGAAAAAAATGAGGCCAGCCTAACAATGGCGCCAACTTACTGCCCAGAGAAAATGAACAGGCCACGATAGAACAGCATGGGTCAGGGTGTACACCAAAGCCCAGTGGTCTCTCAGAGTTAAAGAAATAAAGCTGGTATTCTGGAGAGGTCACAGCTGCCAGAGGTCAAAAGGCAAGGAAACTACATGGAGGGGACTTGAAAGATCTGCAGAGGGTGCCCTTCAAATATTCAGGTGCTAATGTATATATGAATGTGAGTATCCACCTTGGGCACGTGAACAGATCAGTGGGAACAGCACTCACAGGTCACATGTGACTAGGAAGAGTGCGTGTTCCAGCGATTCAAAGTGGGAACCTCCTCATTAATGTAAGTAAGATAAATAGAAGGGCCTTGCCTCAGCAATGGGGCAAAATTAGCCCTAGACGAAATGTGGCTGAGGCCCTGCCTAACTGCGCCTAACAGCGAGACTTGAAAGGACCCAACTATGCCCAAGTAAACGGGCATATAAAGCATACGGAACGAAGTATACCTACAGGAATCCAAAATATCTGGGACCCAACAAAGTAAAATTCAGTTTCTAGCACCCAGAAAAATTACAAGGCATGCAAAGAAGCAAAAAATGTAATCCAAAATTAGGGGAAAATTAAAACTGACTGAGAAATTATACAGATGATAGAATGAGCAGATAAAGATGCACAAAATTATCACAATTGTATTTTGTTTGCTCAAAAAACTAGAGTGAAGATCGAACAGGTTATGTAGAGTCATGAAACGTGAAAAATATATGGAACTTCTATAAATAAAAACTATAATGTCTGAAATTTCAAAATATATTGGTTGGAATCAATGAAAAATCATAGCTCAAAGAAGAAAAGTGAAGTCTAGGCACAGAAGTGTAAACTATTGAAACTATTAAAATTTAGAACATAGTAAGTAAAGACTGTTGAAAATTTAAACATAGTGAATAGAGACTAATTAAAAACAAACAAATAACTAATCAGTGAGATGTGAAAGAATTCTAAGTCACCAAATATACATGAAACAGGAGTCCCCGAAGCAGACAAAAGAAAGAAGACAGAAAAAAAATTTCAAGAAATATGGTCAAAATTTTTCTAAATCTGAGGAAAAACATAAAAACATGGATCCAAAAAAGCTTAACAAATCGTAAGCACACCAAGGTACATTATTATAAACTACTAAAAACTAGAAGTAAAAGACAAAAATTTTATAAGCAACCAGAAAGTAAAAAACAAACAAACAAACAAAAAACACTATATACAAATAAAAAGAAGGCAGCAGATTTTTCAGAAAAAAAAAAAAATGTAAGTCAGAAGACAATGTGGGAATATCTTAGGAACAGAAAGAGAGAAGAAACTGTAATCCTAGAATTCTTTACCCAATTAAATTATCATTCAAGAAACAGGCAAATTGAAGATTTTTTTTTTCTAACACACCAAAGTCAAAAGTACTTGTCCCTGAAAGACCTTCATTATGAGAAATGCAAAAAGAGGGTGTAGGAGTAACACCACTGGACCCACTTGGAAAGGCCCCTTCTTTGTGGCCCAAAGCCACCCTGCACATGCCGGGCACAAATACCGACATCTATGATCTGGGCCAGACGGGTGGGATCAGCAGTGTGGGGACCCTGTGAGGGGTGCCTCTCTGTCTCAGAAGACAGAAACTTTTTTACTATACGAAGAAGTTTTCCAAGCATGGGGATTAAATACCAGATGGAAATCTAAATTTACACAAAGAGATGAAGAACACCAGGGCCAGCTGTGGTAACGTGAGCTGGCTGACCCTTCTACTCAGAAGACTGAGGTCCTCGGGAGGGCCGGGTTCAACTCTATCACATTTAAAAGGGCAGGCATGATGGTATGTGTGTGTGGTCCCAGCTACTTGGAAGGCTGAGGCAGGAGGATCAAGATATGGTGAGACCCTGTCTTAAAAAAAGAAATGAAGAGTACCAGAAATGTTGACTACATGGATAAACTTACAGATACCTTTCCTGCTATAAAATCTTTTTAAAAGATAATCAACTGTTCAAGGCAAAATTAACAACAATGAATTTGGGTTTATAACATATATAGAAGCAAAATAAATGGCAACGATAGCATAAAAGTCAAGAAGAGAAATGAAAATATACAGAAATGGCACAATATCACTACCATGAAGACTGTATTAGAAAAATATTAAGATAATAAGTTTAGGAACCAGCAGATGACGGAATGGTTACCTCGCTGGACTCCCGCACAGTCAATCATGGTTCAAGTCTCAGACCTGGCAACTTAAAACTCAAGCCGGGCTTGTGTGTGTGTGTGTGTGTGTGTGTGTGGTGTGTCTACAATCCCAAGAGGAGAGAATAGAGGAGAAGCGATTGCAGCATGGCCATTCCTCCCTCCCCCCAGAGGTGGGGGGAGGGGATTTCTCCCTTTCTGTCTCCCTTTCTCTGTCTCTCCTGCGAGCACATACACCCTATAGCAAAAACAATCTCTCAATTAAAAAAAAAAAAAGAGTAAATTTAAACCTAAAAATATCAATAATAAAATTGAAGATAATGGTCTTAAAATAACTCAATTAAAAGCAGAGACTACCAGAGTAAATTTAAAAATGCAACCCAACTATATGCTGCCTACAACATGAAGTGATTAAACTAAAAGAATGGGGGAAATTTTTCCCATGCTAAGTAAAAGAAATCTGGAGTGGCTAGATTAATATCTCATTTCAGAATAAGAGAATAAAAAAGGAGTCAATTTAGAAGGAGAATAGGACAATTCTAGTGTTTATGTATCTAATAAGAGAATATCACAATGCATAAAGCAAAACCTGATAAAACTATGTAGAAAATGGGGAAATTGGCAGATAAAGCCAGAGAATTTAATACTCCTTCCTCAGTAATTTACAAACAAGTAAACAGAAAATCAGTGCAAACCTGGAAGACTTGAACACCTATTCACATGAACTAATTATTGATAGAACATTCCAACCAACAGTAACAGAATGTGTGTTCTAATAGTTCATATTACGCAGGACTTCTACTAAGACAAACCACATTCTGGCCATAAGACAAATTTCAAGAAATATGAAAGGATTTGAGTCATATGAAGTACGCTCTCTGACTACACTGGAATAAATTTACATTAATAACATTAAGTTATCTAGAAAACCCCCAGACACTTCAAAACAAACTAATACATTTCTCAGTAACTTCTGGGTCAAAGAAAAAAATGAAAACATATTAGAGGTCATTTAAACTGTGTGAACATGAATGTTCAACATATCAAAACTGTGATATCAGGACCAGCAGTTGGCGTAATGGCTATGTCGCTGGACTCCCATGTAGTCTACTGCGGTTCAAGTCCCGGACCCGATGGCTTAAACTCACGCCGGGCGCATGTGAGTGCGTGCCCAAGATCCCGAGAGGAAAGTGGAGGAGAAGGGATTGCCACATGGCCATCCCTCCTGGGAGGTGATTTCTCGCTTTCTGTCTCTCTGTCTCTCTCTGTCTTTCTGACGAGCTCACACGCCTTATAGCAAAAACCTCTCGCAAAAAAAAAAAAAAAAACCAACTATGGTATAAAAAAACAATATTTAAAGGAAAATTGATAGCACTACAATGTAAAAGAAACAAGGTTTCAAGTCAATAACCTCATTTACTTTAAGAAACTAGAAACTAGGTGGCATGGTAGTTAAGGTGGCTGGATCCTACATGGCCAACTGGGAGGTTTGAGTCCTGGACCCAGCAGCTTGAAAAATATGCTGTGTATGTGTGTGTGTGTGTGTGTGTGTGTGTGTGTGTGTGCGTGTGTGCACACATGCATGTGCACATGTATCCATGCATGCCCAAAATCCTAGGAGGAGAATAGACAAGAAGAGGCTGAGACATGGTTATTCCCTTGGGGGCTGCTTTCTCACTCCCTTTCTACCCCGTCCCTCTCTGGTGAGCACACATGCCCTATAGCAAATCAAAATAATAATAATCATAAACAATAATAATAATAAAAGAAAAGAAATTAGAAAAACAAGCGTAAACAAAGGCTGGGAGAAAATATATACAAAACACATATTTGAAAAATGACTTGTATCCATAATATATAAAGAATTCTTAAAACTCAAGAAGACAAATGATGCAACTAAAAACTAGAAAAAAAAAAAAAAAAACTTGAAATCATGACCCAAGAAGATAATGTGGATGGCAAATAAAGACATGAAAAGATGCTCAACATTATGAGTAATTCAGAGAATTACAAATTAAAATCGTAATGAAATAACCGTAAATATTTTCCAGAATACCTAAATTTCAAAAGACCGACCATATGACGTGTGAGAGGGTGTGAAGAAGCTGGAATCCTCAGGTAGGCGAGCGGGGATGTAAATGGGAAACCAGTCTGGGAAACAGCCTGGCAGTCTCTTTAAAAGGTCGCCATACGCCTAGCATTTGAGCCAGTCGTTCCACCGAGTATTGACCCAAGAGAAGGAAGGCACTGTGTTCTCACTACCCCCCCTGTGGATAAACAGGAGCTCACAGCCTCTCGGAGAGTAAAAATGAGTAAATAAACAACCACTAACGTATGTGGCAGCACTAACAAGAAATGAGGAGGCACACAGAAGGGGCAGACGAATTCAGGTTTAGGCTGTCTGAGAAATCTCCTTTAGGAAATAAGGCATACACAGGAGCCTGGATAGCAGTGAATCGAGTTTCGACCATGTGAAAATATGATGGAAGGCAGGTCCAGAGGCGAAAGCCAGTAACTTAGCAGACAGAGGTTACCAAGGAAGCTGCAGTAGTCTTCAGCGTGGGGAGACAAAGCTGGAAAGAGCAGCTGGAGCGAACCATGCGCGCATTTAAGCCGTGTTAAAGAATGTGGACTTCATTCTAATAGCGAAGGGGAAGCGCCAAATTTAAAGCAGGACGCTGACATAATCAAAACGGAATTCTTGAAGGAAAACACTAGGACTGTAATGCGGTGCAGAGCACGAGTTACAGGAAGCGAGACGGGAAACAGGAAGTCTGTGTAAGAAGCTATGTTGTAAGTCCAGCAGGAAACAGAAAGTAAAATGATGAGACTGCAAAAATGGAAACGCCCACGAGAGATTTAGGAGGCAGGAGGATCATAATTTATGGTACGGTACGACTGATGTGGGAAGTGGGGGGGCGGGTATGTGATGCCCAATTTGTGGCCTGGGCCAGTTGGAGATCACACTGTTTTCTTCTGAATTACTTGCCATTGTATGTAGGTCCACTGTCCACGCTTCCTCCGTGGCCTTTAGTCTCACAGTTTGGAGGAGCCCAGCCATTTTCACAGTGACAATTCTTATTGCTATTACATACCTTCAAAACAATCAGAATACCACTTCTGTTAATTGTGAATATTGCTCTGCGTTATCAACTCAAGAATGGGAACCGAGAAAAATGATTTAATTCATACAAACTCATAGACACTCTGAGAAATTGATCAGAAATCTAAGTTTAACATCTAAAAGCCTTAGGAATTCTTATCTAATCCGCACTGGGAACTGTCATTACTCCGCACTACTTTGATGAACAAGTCAAAAGAGACCATTACCTACCCCATGTCCATGACACTTATTCTGAATATCACAATCGTAATTCAGCACAGAAGCATTTACGCACTGGAAGTTTCTACAGATCTGAAAAACAAACAAACAAAAGAATAGAGTGAAGTAAAGAAAAACTGAACATTATAGCAAAGAAGTACCCAGAAAAAAAATCTGAGTGTGTATTATTTCATTGGAGAACTCTTTCACATTGTCAAGGAAGGGATAATTCCCATATTAATTTGAGTTTTGAAGATACAGAAAAATAAATGACATGAACTATTCATGTAGAACTAATGATCACAAAAGACGACGATGACATAAAGAACTAAAAGATAAAGTCAGAATGTATCCTTTCATGAGTACAGATGTGAAGATCCTAAGTAAAATATTCACAAAGATATTTTTTTCTGATCAAGATTCACCAGGTAAAGTTGATCTTGGAACTAAAAGGAAGACTCAACAACAGGAAATCTATAACTAGACCTCTCATAAACTGCCATTAGTACAGTAGATATCAAAAGATCACTTGTGGCCAGCAGATGGCATGGAGGTGAAGGCTGCTGGATCCCACATGGCCAACTGCATGGTTCGAGTCCTGGATCCACTGACTGGTAAACACACACCCAGTATCCTAACAGGGTGACAAGTTCAGGATTGTAGTTTGATCAGGCCCCATTGTGGGGGAGGTGGCTGGCATGCTCTCACTCGCTCTTTCTCTCTCCCCCTGCTCTCCCTTCTCTTGTGCAAACACGCAGCCCTCTGGCATTAAAAGAATATTGAGAGCCCGCTCACTGAACATGGGTGTTTCATTCCAAACCCAAAGGGAAGGCCTGATAGTCCTGATAGTCCAAAGCATGCCCTATTTCCAAAGCGGAAAGTCATTTTCATAGTCAGTAAATCTTCAAAAACATTTCTGCTTTCTCCCCTGTTGACATTCTGGGAAAAGAAAAGGCTGTGTTCGCTGGTTATGATTTTCAAACTATGCAATCACACTTTGCTCTGATACAGCTGTGGTTTCAGAGAAAAAACATCTCACTGGGACTAGCAAATGGTGTAACGGTAATGTTGCTGGACTCCTACACAGTCGGCCGCAGTGCTGAATCCCTGACTGCTGGCTTGGAACTCACACCAGAGCGTGTGCGTGCACACCCAAAATCCTGAGAGGAGACAGGGAGAGAAGGGATTGTGTCGGGGCCTTCCCCTCAGGGGGTCATTTCTCACTTTGATTTCTCACCTTCTGTCTGTCTCTATCTGGCAAGTGCACGTACCCTATAGCAAAAAGAAAAAAAAAAAAAAAAAAAAACACC